TATAAAAGGTTTTACTTTTGATAGTAAATAAATGTAGATATACAGACATCAGTATTAATATAAAGTACTCAAATGCTGAAAGTGAAAATCTTGTAATCTATAATAATTTAATTTTTATATGGCAACTTCTCTAATTTACTATAAAACGATAAGTATTTTTAGAAAAAATATAATGAATAAGGAAAACTGCCACAAAAGTAAATACTGCAACGTCACGTACAAATATGAATCAACCTTTACTCACGTTTCTCTGGATTTTATCCCTCTTCTTATCTGTCAGCACAGATAACCGCGTCTATCAAAGCTTCGACTATTATCGTCGTCTTCCTTTCTCGATTAAACGCGCGTGAGTGGCTGGTCGTGAGGGCTCTTTCGCTCAACTAATGGATTTCATGAATTAGACGTCGCCATCCGAGCCATCATCGTCGTCATTGACGTCTTGACCTCGAGAACCGACGATGTCTGATTAAACACAGAGCAATTCCCTTAAAACGGCGCGCGAATGTCGGCTATCAATCCCAAAAAGAGGAAAAGAGCGGTCTGTTTATTCATTTTATTCGATTCGACCTGGTATCTCCCATGAAAATTGTTTGGCTGTAGAATCGCGATTAATGGAATAATCTGTTTTATATATTTTTCCAATAATTTTCGATTAAAAAGTAAAACACGAGCAAGGAATGTTTTTTCTCTTTAATATGTCTTTGTGTAACAATCTTTAATAAGTTTAACAAGTAATAAATAAATTTGCATAACACAATCTTTTCAGAATTGAATTATGTTTGACTTATAAAAAAGCTCTATATCTCGAGATGTAGGTACACATCTTATTTCGTTAATAATATATTGCAAAATATTTATAATGTGCTAAAAGTGTTATATAATAATCGATCCTATTATTCTAATAATTTTGATGCACAAAGCGTTTCTCTTCGTGAGTCTATTTCTTCGAAAATTTCCGATCAAACTCTCTCTGAGTTCGACACAAACTATCCGATACGTATTCGAATGCGATAATAATGGCAACTTCGGATCGCGCATCTAATCGCAATTAAGTGAAACGGAGGAAGAGACGCGGACAAATATTTCTATGGGTGATTGCGATCTCGATTCGCCATCGTTAATTATCCAAAACACACGGTTGTCCCGGCCAGTGATCGGACGTGTGTTGACAAACATGTTTAGCAAACGCACACAGATCCCATCCGAAATTCATGCGGGCCGATTTTACCGAAGCTACACTTCCTCAAGCATTATACAATACATTCGTCGGCGACGGTTATTGATGATGCCCGATGCCGATCAATCCGACGCGATACGTCACCCTCCCTCAGATGGCCCGCGATCGCAATTACACGAACGCGCCGATAAATTATTATCAAGCTGTCTGTCATCCCCATGAAACTATTAATTCAGTCGCACCGGTGCATCGACGCGCCGATAAATTATCGTAGCCTACCGTTCGTCCCCCCTCCCCCTCGCTCCTCGTCCCCTCCCCATTTACTTTTTCACGTATATATTTTCTTTTATCAATATCGCGCAGCGTGTTATTTAACGATCGGCTGTTTAATGAAAATTTTCCCAGTCGAACGGGGCATTTTATCGGTGCAGACAAGATTTTGACATAACCGATGATTTATTCCTCTCAATAACATGATCCCCCATGAAGATTTTTCAGTCACCCGGCAGAATGTCAAAACGTTTCGATAGATTTTGAAATGCTCGCGATACCTTGCGCTTTTTTGGATTCTCATCTACATATTTTTCGTAATTTTATTGTATCATGTCACCGAATTATCGATAAGACAGAAAATCGTGCTCGCGATAATTCTGGAATTGTAATCAGTATAACGTATTAATTATTCCATCGATTTTTATTAATTTATATGGTATGAGCTCTTCAATTATCTCAAATCGATATACTGATATTGCAAAATATAGTATAATGTCGATAATTGCGATATTCAATAATGAGAAAAAGTATTAACAACTCGTGAAATTTGTGCGTTACTAAGTAAACTAATAGTCATTTTTATCATGTATAACTTTTATTATTAAATTCAATTTAATAATAAAAATTATTAAATTTGATTTAATAAAAATGTTCAATAATAGTTGCCAGATAAAAATTAATTTCTATATCTTTTTTAAATACATATGCATAATTATTCATAATAAAAGTATTAAAAATTATTAAAATCTATCAACGATAATGGTCTTTTAATGGAAATAATTTTCGAACGTACAAATATTTTGTTTGAATTAGCGCCGCAATCGTGCACGTCGTGTAGTCGCTTTGTCTCGAATCTCCTCTCACGATTCAACGGAATCCATTCTGTGAATGGATACTGAATGGTTGCATTCGGAGAGCTTCTCGTGCCAATTTCGTTAAAGCAAGTGAGACCGATTGTGAGAGAGAGATTTTTTTTTACGACGAAACGATCGGCACACACTGACTATTTTGCATTGAAATAACATCCTCGTTTTAATTAAAGTAGTTTGAATACACAGAGCATGCTAAATATATATTCTGCACATTATTTTTCAACTATAAATATTAAAAGTCGAACTAGCAAGAAGTGTTTCAATACCGTGTACATTTTGGCCGAGGCTATTTTTTTATAAATTTGATTTTAAATTGAATTTTATATAAATTTTAATTGTCAGGAAATATTTAATCTAGAAAATCAAATAAAGTCTTTCGATATATAAAATAAAGAGAGATATAAAACAAATCTTTCGTTAAACAAAAATCGACCAAATGATTTAAGATTTACACGACGCGTGTGGGATATCCTGTATACGTTCTCGATCTGAAAGCGCTGTTAGTAGAGAAGTCTTTATAAAAGACCCTCGGGGTTCATCGTCCCTCTGCGTAAATATACTCACCGCCCTTCTGCCGACATAATCGAGAGGAAAATACGTTTCGGCTCGTACACGGGGAATCCAATCCTTCTTAGGGCGAGATAGAGGGCTTTCATGAATGTCTCGCAATAACGTTTCTTATATTCTCAATGCTGGCTTTTCTGGGAGTTTATTATTATTAAGGAAAGAGAGAGACATGTTTTTTCGACAGATTTGCCAAAAGGAAAAGATCTCGCTCGTACAGCATCTCTTCATTAAAACGAACGTCTTCTGTCAAATCGATTTAAATAACAAAGTCATGAAAATACGGCATAAGCATGTCGCGTATTTAGATACCGACAACTTTCGTTAAGGAACAAACTGTTGGCAGTTGGCAGTTACAAATAGCACCTGCCTATCGATTTTTGAAGAATCGCATAAGCTGCTCAAGTCGCAAAAAATATCTGCATGAGATTCTTTCGCTGTAGCATTCCCCTCGGGAAAAGGATCAAAGATGTTAGAATTTTAGCTTTCCCACAGCTGGATTTATAAAATGGTAGCTGATTTCTAGCTGACATACGAGCAATTTTTTCTGCGATTATTGCTCTCTGTTTCATCCTGGAGGATGTTTTGCCGACTTGTTATCCCGATATCCGTTTTAAGAAATACTTTAAAAAACAATCCAACGATTTCGAGATGGATATGACAACAAAATATCATGTATTCTTTGTGAGCCATACAAAGATCGCTGGCTGATAAAAATTATTACAATTCTATGTGAAAAATCGCTGCATGAGAGTTATACTTGGAATGATGTATTTGCGCAGACATCGGATAACCCAGTTTTCACGGATGAAAAAGACATGAAGAATCAAGCACTAGAAAAATCATCAAACTCTTGGCAGACGGGTCATACGATGCCAACGTGTAATTAGACAAACGGTCTTCTCGGATGTAATAAGCTCTCGTATTTAATTCCTATCCGTGATAAAAGCGGTCTTTCAGTGCTTTTTCATTTGCGAAACCCTTCGGCGTGCAACGGATGAATGTGTACGTCTTTCAAAAGTAATTGAACCTGAAATTAATCGATTGTACGAGGATGAATCGTAAACGATGGAATTGCCATTATTCCCATTTCAATGGAGAGCCATCAAAGTTCTGACAGAATTTATCGCGATTCCCATCAAGCAGAAAAATATTTTATGGTTCAATGTATTAGCGTGTTTACATAATATTAATAAAAATTTATCATCGAATCAAAACTTAAAAATATATTATTGTAATATGTTAAAATATTTTAATAATCAAAACACATATAATAATATAATATTTCGATAATGTAGAGCAATATCTAATATAATACATTTTTCTAATATCAATTCATCGACAATCATGTTCGATTCGCACTTGATTTTGACCGCATCGGATTAAATTCAAAGGAGAACAGATCGGCACGAATTATTATTCCCAGATTCCCGACGAGTGGATCCCCTTGAAGTTATGCCAACCGACGCGAAAAACGATCTTTACGATAATATGTAAGACAGAACATGTCGAGAATTACGGTCTATCCTGTCACTGGCATGCTACCATGCCTGTCGCTTTGTCGAATAAGTTGACTAAGTATCTTTTTTAAAGAATCACTCCTTTTTATCTATTGAATTTTGTAATATTTATGTAATATTTAATATTTATATAGAGTTTGTAGTTTTATTGACTGAATTAAACCAATTACAAATATTCTTCAACAAATCTTATTTATTTTATATCGTCATATTTTCAATTGTGCTCCAACAATCGAGAATTACGCAAGATGTATTGAACATTTTTCTGTCGCCTTTTAATACATCTCTCGTGATTCCATCATGTCGTAGCGAACAGAAGTATGATAATGCAAAATCAATATTGAGAATCATGAAAAAATGTTGTAATACTTAAACTAGTCAGTAAAATTACAAATTGTACAAAAATTAAAAGCCAAACTAAGAGAAACTGCTTTAACATTAAAACATTAATTTAGATGCAATTTTGATTTATATTAAATTCTATATAAAATTTTATATTAATTTTTTCAAAAGATATTTATTTAAAAAATCCAAATTAATGCAGAAGATAATTTATACATTATTGACATAAATTCTCTTATTTTCTCTTTTCAGGTTATTAAATCTAGCATTGGAAATCTGTGCGTTATTCCGCAATCGTGGCAATCGTTATTACCAGGCTCGTAATGTCAAAACTGGAACGTATAATGGGAAGAGAGAAAAATATTCCACGGAAATAATCACTGGCGTGCAAGGTAATATCTCGTGAAAGAACTTATCGTGATTATCGAACGAACAGTTTCCGTGATCCAATTAATTATTGGATTGTCCGAGCGGATTATTACTGTTCGCGGAATAGCGGTACAAATCATTTCCGAACATCATATTGTTCCTTAACAGTTTGAAATTCGCCATTGATTTTTGACAGATGAAACTTTTGGATTCGATTTACGACGCAAAAAACATTTACAACACGTATTCCCACTATACTTACTCGCTAAATAACTTACGAGATCTTTTATCAGTGGAAATTAATTATTTCTCGCTGTCGTTCATACAAAGAGTTATTATTATGTACCAGACGAAGGCAAGTAAGTATTAATAAAATTATCAATTGTCGTGTTTTTATGAGGTATGTATTTTATTTTTATTCCATATAGTATATCGAATTGGCCGTAATATTATTCTCTGTCTAAAGATTCAGCTATATATGTATATTTCTTATCATCTAAAATAATTTACTTTAATGCCATTTATTGATCAATAATAGTAAACACACTTAATATTTTAAATTTTCAAAAGATCATTTCAATTTAGCATATGTTAATCACAATTCTAAATAGGGACAGTAAATTAAAATATAAGTATATTATATTACTTTTTATATTTTTAATATATATAATATACTCTTATTATACTTATACTTTTTGAAATTTGCGTATTGTTTGTTAATATTGTTACGTCCCTGATGTCCGTGTTCATCGGGACGGTTTCGATTAACACGGACATCAAGGACGTAACAATATTAACAAACAATATGCAAATTTCAAAAATATATACAATATATTATATATACAATATATTATACAATATATTATACAATATATATATATATATATATATATATATATATACAATATATTAATAAAGCATATGTATAAGAAAATCTATATATTTATAAAACTCTACACATATACATACACACACACATTTATATAACAGAAAGTTTTGATTGGAACACACGTTATTATCAAACTTTTAATTGCAAGTTCTCGGGAAAGAGCAAGTTACCAGTTGAGAATCGCTGACGTAGATGATACCAGATATAGCCCCGAGGTGCAATTCCAAATTATCGCAGGGGGTAAATACAGCGAGCGAACAAGGGGACGTTCAATCTCCCCATTTAATCGCCGAAGAAACAACCTCGTCAGGTTCAGCTGGAAAACCATTTATGTAGACATCGTCTTTCCGCTCTTGGGGGATCCGAGGGAGGTAAGGGGGGAGAAAGATGAACAGGACGAAATTTATATCGGGACGATGACGTGCGGTGCTTAATCTTTTTGGTAGCGTTTAGTATAAAAATCAAACGAGCTTTTTGTCATTGAATTCGTTACACGAGTCTCTGATCTCGCGAGCTCTCGGTTTCCAGCTGATCCATTCTTCAGCAAGAGTGGATAATGATTTTGCTTTTTGCAGACGACTGTGGAAAAGCATCGTTAGTGTCGATGTATTTTTTATATTACGAGACAAACAACGAGAAATAAATCCCGATAAACCGTCTCTTTTATCTTTTTTTTTATAGATCATGTGTCGTGGCATATACGTAAAATAAAATTTCGCGAATAAAATAATATATGCGAAAAGTAGAGGGAATATGGATGAAAGTTATTTCTATATAAAAATATAGATGTTTTCAAAAAAAAATTGGAGTTTGTGCTGTATCGAAATCACTCGTTTTTTCTGCTTGCAGTTATAAAGTAAAATTCATCCCCCGCGCTAGTCATATATTTTTGAAGTCATATATACTCTCTTTAGACTTCATCAAATGATACAGGAACGCCCGTATAACTTTTTTCCGCCGCACTTTTAGATACCTTAAAATAAATTCCCTCTTTGATCTGAGCTTCTCAATTAGCGGAAGAGCTTCCAAAGTAGACACTACATCCGAGGATCGAGATACAAAAAGTAAAGAGAGAAAATAAGAAACCTGGATGATGCGCGAACGAGATAAAGGAGAGATGGACAAAGGAAAAAGGAAATTGCGCGAAATAAAGGCGAATTTATTTCCACGGATTCCCATTTACGCCGCAGGTGAAAGGCTCCCAGCAGTATTTCGTGTATCGAGGCACTGTCATTTTTATTTTCGCCCCAGAGCTGGAGAGCGCAACGAGAATCGATTTGCTGAAAGCGGTTCTCCGTCAATTTCGCGACCAAGATCGCGCGGCGCGGCGCATCATCTTTCGCCGACGACATCATTTCCGCCAACGTTATCTCGCACTCGCTCTTTCCTATTATTCTTTCATTTAATCGCGGGATAGACGGATTTTTCGCGTGTCGTTTTGGCGAGCGCCGCGAATGAGCTCTCTCGTGTGATTGATATTATGAGAGAGGGGAATGTGAGTTATATCGAGAGACTTGCGCGATTTCCGATCCGCTCGTGCGCGATGGAAGATTTCAATTTCGAGACGAGACGATAAAATGAATCGCGACGCAAGTGAATCGATTGTGTGCGAAGGCGATACAAGAAGAGATTTAAAATAGAAAACAAGCGAAAATTAAGATTTTGATTGAAAGAGTATTACGAAGTAAAACAATAATAACCTGCAAGTAAATTAACAATACTCGGCAATAAGAGAATTTTTTAAAACGATAAGCTTCGCTTGTTCTTCCATCATGAAAACCGCTATGTATTTTTGTTTATTGATAAAATGATTCATATGTACATTAGATAAATAATAATAATAATGACATAAAACCTAAAATGAAATAAACATAATGACATAAAGTAAAATAAAATAATTACAAAAATCAATATTACATTTGTATTATTATTGTATAAATAAATAATATATTGTATAAATAATAATACACACGTAAAATGAAATAAAATAATAAAATAAAATAATAATAAAATAATAATAAAATAATTGAAAATAAATTAATAAATAAATTACAAACATCAGTCAAGATCCACATTATTTCATATAAACAGAATAATAATGTTCTTTCAACAAAGCTTTGAAATAATACTTTTAGAACTTGAGAACTTTAGAACTTGAGAACTTTAGAACTTTAGAACTTTAGAATATTAGATTAATTCATTTGTCTCACCGTTGCAAAAAAATATTTGTGCTTAAATAAAGTAGTTCATGTCATTAGAGAGAAAGAGTACCCCGGTTAGTCTACGTAATAAAGCAGAGTAAAGTTGTGTAATCGAGAGAGAAAGAAAAAGAAAAAGAGATCCCCGTATCTCTCGAAACAGTGGTTAAGTGGGGGGGAGGGATGCAATTAAGCGCGAACCGGCGGTTCGTTCGAGCGCGGTACGTTTTTGCCTCTCGCGCAACGCAAGGAAGAAGGTTCTTGGTGTTACTCACGTTTTTCTTGATCCCCTTCAGCTGCTTCGAGGACTTCCACCAGGTCAGGACCGCCGCTGGCTTTGAACCGGAGCTCTGACATTTCACGTCATACGTCTTCCCTGCCGATAGGATCTGATCCTTCCCCAAAATTTCCACCTTCATCGGTTTCACTGCAAGAAAAACCGATATAAACTTGATATCGCTAATATAAATATGAAAAAAAATAATAATTCGTCTCGATAAATGTGTCTGCGCTTTACATGTTGAATATTAATAATAAAAGAATGCGCGATTCAATTTGAATTAATAAAACGTTTCAACTCTTTATCGGAGAATTTACAGAGATATAGACGCAACAAACTTTGTAAGCAAAGTTAAGTTAAAATTCTTATTTCTTTCCGTTTTCGTGATTTTACTCATAATTCTGAATAAAACTTTATCATTTTAACAACATATTCTCCTTTCCTCTAGTTTATGCTGTTGAGAAAAAAATCGGAAAAAATCACTTATGAATAAGTTAGTTTAATATATAAAATACTTTATCGCTTATACAACAAGACATTTCAATGGCAATCACGTGCGGCTCGTAAGCATGATTTGCAGAATCGGGACGCATATACGCTCGGCTTTTTGGACCTCCACTTTACTTACTTAGGCCATTACTTCCGTCTCTTTTCGCGGATCCGGCGTTTTTGCAATATGCGGTGGAACATAACGAAGGACGATGCGAACCAGCGAAAATGACGAAGGTAAAAAAAACCGCAAAACGTGAAAAACGCGCAAAAGAAATGCCGGGTTAATTAGAATTCAGTCCGTTCGCGAATTTCATGCCGCAAGTTCCTCCTCTGTTCGGCATTCTTCGCGAAAGTTCCCGGCCAACGGGACGAAAGGAGGCGTAGATCGATGGCAACGGCCAGAAAGAGAGAGGAGGGCGATTAGATCGGGAAAAAATGGAATCGGGATGAAAGGGAAGAAGAACAGGGGGAAAGGAATCGGACTGAGAGAACAGTCCGTATAATTGGAGCTCGTCGTGAAAGCTGTCGAAAACAAAGGCGGCCCGGGAGAAGATTGCCGAGTGCGAAATTCTCGGCAAAGTTGAGATTTCATTTGCAAATCAAAATTCATGTCGTCAGGTGCGCGAACGGACGGGACGACGCGAAGAATTTGACGAGGCTTTTAGTAGGTATCTCTCTCTGCCTGTGAACGCGAACGAGAACCGTCTTCCTTTCATCGCTTTCACTCTACATATATCCCGCCTATCTCGGACCAACTTGTCAAGTTAACTGCGTTAAAATCTTCTGGTTCTCTAAAGAAGCATTTGCACAAGCATAAACCACCATCGTACTATTAATGTAAATTCACACGGAATAACTATACTCTTTTTAAATTTATAGGTAAAAATATGTTAAAAATTGTGCTTTTAACAGAAACTTTAAATCTTTAATACAGAGATAGTCGATGTTAAAGTCCTTAAAAATATCATTTTATTTTTATTAGTAAAAGATAATTTTTAATCTATTTTCTACATACACTGTATTTTTACTCTATATTTTTATTTACTAGTTTTTGAAATTTATTATAGAACATTGAAAAATTATATATGCAAATAATGATATCATTCGTTCATATTTTTTCGATTCTGTCCTTATGTTAACGATTACCGAAAAAAAATGTTAAAAATTATACCTTTAACAGAAACTTTAAATCTTTAATACAAAGATAGTCGATGCTAAAAGTCCTTAAAAATGTCATTTTATTTTTATTAGTAAAAATTAATTTTTAATCTATTTTCTAAATACATTTTCTTATTTTTCGTATTTTTATTTACTAGTTTTTGAAACTTATTATAAAACATTGAAAAATTATATATGCAAATAATAATATCATTCATTCATATTCTCTCAATTCATATGCTCTTGTTAACGATTACCGAACCTTACCAATTTTGAAAAACTCCAAAGAAAGGGAAATTAATATTATATGTGTTTCTATATATTAGCATGTCTTTATATAATTATATATATATGATTACAAAAATTCTACATTTTCTACGTTTTGTATTGTAAATATTGATTTTTATATCGACAGATAAATTTCTTCGAAAATCTAAATAAACTAGAGTAAAATAATTTTATTATTAATTCCATGCATTTACTGATTTATCTCTCCTCTTTCGTTCACGCGATTTTTGCGAGTTCCCTTTCATCAACTTGTATTCCTAATCAAATATCCTTTCAGAAATGGAAACACAAGCCCGAAGACTCATCGCCTCCTCGGGCGCTTAAATGAGCCGCTATTATTATTCGCGCGCATGGAGTGGTTTTAATCGAGTTACGAAGCAGTTCAATAAGGTGCACGTCGTTCACGCGACGTTCGCGCGTTTATCGTGTCGACTTTTGAAAGCAGAGTTCAAAGAGCTATGCCATTTTATCCGTTAGACGCTATGGGAATAACGCCTGAGTGCAGTGCTTAAGGCTTAAGAGGTTTGCGAGAGGCTGTGAAGATATTTTGTGAAATCTAAGATAAAAATTTTATGAAAAATTTCTAATAACAAGAATTTAATAGCTTTACTTTAATGTATAACATAATTAAATAAAATAAATATATGCGAGCAAAATAAATTTCTTTCTATAATTGAATGTATCATGATTGGTATAAATTTAGAAAACAGAAAAGTTTTCTCTTCAACTTCTTAAGCCTAGAGTAGAGATTGAAAAAAACAATGATCAGATTAAAAAATTTTCTTAAGTTAATTCTCTCCCTCTCTTCTATAAACTTTATACTTAAGTCTAAGGAAAAAGTTAGCTAAACTTTTAGTTACAATTTTATCCCAGCTTTCTCAGTGACTAAAGATCATTAAAGGAAATCGATTCATTCATCTGAAAATTAACTTTGAATTTGACTTCGACCAAAGTATCGTGAGGGATGAGACATTTTCTAACAAAACGGAGAGGGGGAATGAAAGTTTTTGTACTGAAAATCAAAATCTATTTAAGATCTGATCCGATAAAGAATTCAAAATGAGATTCATCAGTATCTCAAACTATGTGAATACAATTTGACATGTTAAAAAACATAACATGGATCGAGCTTTCATGAACAAGATTATTTAAAAAGTTTCAAGATAACAATTTCTATCTATCTACTTTTTTATATCTTTAATCAACATAAAATAGATTATTAATCTTTTAATCGACATAAAATAGATTCCCTATTTATGGCATTTGAAGTCGAATATACTCGAAAACTGTATTGATTTGAATTTTCAAAGGATTCTCGTAGATAGCATAAAGAGGTGAAGAAGAGAAAGTCAAATGGCGGAATCAGGATGGGCTGGAAGAAGCTGGCTGTTAAGTGGCTCGTTCGTAGGTAGGTTAAAGTCGGCTGTTTCGGAAACGATTGAACATTAAGGAGTCGTGCGTCGCAGATTCGTATGCGCTAGTCCCGCGAATCGCCGGTTTAAAGTGAAATTTCGCCGAGACTCGCGATACGCGATTCTAAGTGGTATTATTGCCATAATTTGGCAAAGCTGCAGTGAGCCCCGTATCGCTCGGTCTCGTTGGAATGAGGGGGTAATAGACGGGGTGGACCTTCGTTTCTCACGGATTTCGTATTCCGGTTCTTGCGAAAGCCTGTAAACGAGGCGACAATGTATACGATTCTCACAGTTCAGAAAATACAAGGAAATATACGAAACGTGCGGCGGAATAACATTTGCCAGGAGTCTCTGGATAAACTAATTAATTCCAAGGAGGCGAAGAATCCAACACCGCGGTAGAAACAAATCACCGACGAAGTATTAATCCTCTTATGCATCCGCGAGCGAGAAGATATATGTGTTTATTAGACAAATTTCGTGTATGCAAAATTTACGCATTCCACATTTTGCGCTCCATTGTAACTTTTCGGGCAATTTGTAATCAATCCTTACACGCATTAATCTTTTAACTTTTAAAAATTGAAATTTTTAGAAAATTAAAAAATATCTGAGAAAAATTTTATCATATTAAAAATTAATTTCCAAATTAATGACTTTATGAAATTTAAATATCTGAGAAAAGTTTTATTATATTTAGAAGAGTTAATTTCTAAATTAAAAACCCATATTAAAATCTTCATATATTTTTTCTCTTCAAGGGAAAATTATTAGTTCTCTCTGTGCGGGTTGAGTTATTAAGCGCAAGGAGTTTACATTTTTGAAGCTCACTTGTCTCTAGAGCAAGGAAAACTCTTCTTCTTTATCGTCTTGCCAACGAGAGAATTTTTGAGAGTTCTTATGCCGTTTACAATTTCGCAAATTCGCAAACGCCCTTATTTTGTGATCAAAATTCACCGCTTGCCTATTAGCTTCGTTATTACTTTATATCACAATTAAAATTGTCTCAATTGATTGATATTGTAAAACGGCATTGTTGAATTGGTACGGAACATTTCGTTTAATAAATTAGGATCTATATTTATTTATATTTTGTTTTTCAATGCATTCTATGATGCTACTCGTTCTTTTGTTCTAAAATTTATTTTTATTATCGCATATCACACAGTATTTTAAAGTATTTTAAGTATTTTAAGATAATGAAGAATAAGAATATAAGGTTGATATAGAAAAATCAAGAAGATATTTTTTTAATAAAATTAATTCTCACAAAAATTTTTCCTTTTTATAATTTCTGAATTCTTATCATTCTATAATTCGATAGCAGAATCGAAATTTAATTAAAGTTAATGAATTTTGTTAGAATCCTTAATTTTTTAGTATCTAATCTGATTTATTTATTAAAGAACCTCAGAATTCGGCATTTCGCTTACACTCTTGATATATTCCTTTAATTCCTTTAATAATTCATAATTCTGTCATAAAGAAGCTTTTCGATTTACAATTATCATCTATATTATTGCTTGCTCAAGGAAAGCAACGACAATGCGATCGACAGGATCGACCTTAATGAGGAATTTCTTTTGATGTCTAATATTCGTTAGGTCGTTACTACTGGCGAGCACTATAATCGCCTGGCTATCAAGGAGTGCTACTACTTTCGTTAATGCCCGTAACTATAAAAGACTAATGAGCTTCGCCCGCGCGCAAAGTTTACGCGAGCCGAAGCGGCTTCATTAATTTTCTTACTAATTAACCGGGAACGCCGATCGCAAGAGAGGAACGACGAAGGGG